CGGGCTCTGAGATCAATTTCCTCCCTGACGGGATGTCTTCTGAAGTCTTTGAGTTCATCAATAGGCCCCCCATTTCCTGGGCGCCGTGTGGATAGGGTAGAATCCTCCTCGGACTCATCTCCCTTCCTCCGTCTAGACAATCCTCGCCGGAGGTCGTCCAGGGCTAACGGTCTTGCCTTCCTGAAATGGTCGTTAGGAGGGTGCTCGTTGGCTCTCGGTCGCTTTGGGGCCCTGGAGCTTTCTGCCTTGTTGTTTAGATGATTCCTTAGATCCTTCGTTTTCGCCTCCCGGGCGGGGAGCCCACGAGAAAGGAATGAGTCCCTCGACCCTTCGCCGGAGGCGGCAAATTCGTTGAGCCGGCTTAGGACGTTTACATTGTCCTTTTCTAGCTGTCGTAATCTATCGCCAAACTTTTCTTCGATCACCTCCGCCAGCTGACGAGCCAGGGGGGCTGATCCTCCTGACCTGATTCCCATACTGGTTTGAGGGTAACCCCTCTTGACTGAGTAGAGGCATTTTTATTCCCATCAGTGTGATCCCTTCCTCCGTGGTGACAGGGAGCTTGTAATTCGAGACTTCTTTGATGGGGACCTTTTCCTTTTTGTCGAGTGTTCACCATGATCACTGTTCTTTATAGAGAAAAAACTAGGAAAACTAGTCGTTTTCCACAGACGGGGCCAGATTGTGCGTGCTAGATCTTGCACAATATAAAAACAAGAACAGATTCTCCCTTGGTGAACTCAAGTGAATCGGTGGAGTGGTCAACCACGCTGCTTGGAACAGCCTGTGAGATCCTGTGATAACCTGAAACGGTAATGGGAGACTCTCGTGGATCAAAGGAACGATCCAGTAAGGCTGAAGAAAGGTTCCTGGAACAAAGAAGAACAAGTTAGAAGAGCGCCGGAGTATTTTTCAGCGTATCCCCTCCGACGATCAAGTCAGTCTTTAAGAAAGAGAGGAAGAAGAAAATACTGAGTATGTATTGTAGCAAAGGTTTTTTGTTGCATACCATCTTGCCTTTTGCGAGGAGTATTTATACCTCAAAATCTCATGATTGTTGTTAGTGTAGTCAGTAGGTGATCATTAGGTACAGGCAGTGTGCACACTGATTCTGATGAGGAATGTCTTCTCTTTTAACTGCTCGGGATCCCGAGCAATCAATACTGTGTCATCGGGCTGCCGACTGTTCAATAAGCTCCCCTCGGGGAGGACGCAATAAATGCCCAGCCTTAGAGGCATTTATTGCCTTTCAATTTCGAGCCTTACTGCATTGAATGCAGTCTCATCAAGGGAATTGCGTAATTAAATACTTGTTTTCCCAAGTCGTGTGTCAGCAAGGGCATGCGGTTTTTCTGTCTCCGATGTGACACAATATGCCACGCGTCCATTCCCCATTGGTTGTGGCCCCTACCTTCCTATGCCTTCTGACACCAATTGTGTAAGACGAAGTCATGATAGCTAACCTAGCCTAGCCTAGGCTAGTGACCTGTACATTAATAGCCTCTGCTAGAGCAGAGAACAGCATCCTGGACGAGGGGGGTACATCTCGGTACCGAGGAAGAGGTACATCTCGGAGCCGAGGGAAGAGCCTAGCGGCCGATGAACCATATCAGACCGAGGGTACGTGTCGGTACATAAAAAGTACTGGGATGCCGATCGATCTCCATGATCAGCACCTCGGGGGGAGAGGGGACTTGTGACCCGATGGGTACGTGATCTCGATAACAAGGAACAGTGAAACCGAGGATACGTGTCTTCATCTTGGAGTATTCTGGAAAATGTCACATCAACTAGGCACCTGATCAGGTCGCTAGTGGGTACCTCCTCCATAGGAAGTGTTCACTTATATGGCAGGGGGGAAGACGACTCTCTTCCGATGTGGGATTGCCTTAGGAAAGGGTCCTATTAGCGAAGAGAGGTAAAGGCTACTGGGGCTCGGTGCCGCCAGGTCAGCCGGAATCCTTCAAGTGGAGGGATGAGATTCGTAGCGATTTCTACCCCTTACACTAACCAACCTTATCATCTACTGACTAAGCGAGCGCCTCACTCCACTCTTCTCCTCTTGCCTCCATCGGCTTTCATCGTTCAAGCCTCTACGTCTATAGCTCAGGCCTTCATCGTTCAGTCCCAACCTCCCTATGTACTCTCTCTCTTTCTCTATTTGGGCGCAATCTGGTGGCCTTCATCGTTCAGGCCTTCATCTAAAGATCTGATTTTCTTTTTTTAAGCATCAAGTTAATGAACCTCAAAACCCTAACTTTCAAGCATCGTTCAGGCCTTATCTATTTTTTTTTAGCATCATTCAAACCTTCTCTATTTTTTTTTTAAAGCTTTCAAAACTTATCCAGTTAACATAAAAAAAATTGTTGTTGTAGTTGTTTTAGGTTTTAGTGCTATTGATTTATTATGTTGTTAAATTGGTGCATGTTATTTAATTGAATTGTTAAAATGATCTAAAAATTAATAGCTACAAAAGTGTTTATCGTACTTCCTACCCGATTAATCCGGTAGGAAGTCGGGTAGGAATACCACATCTGATCAGGTAGGGTAGGCCATAAAAAAATTCTTCCACAAAGTATCAGGTAAAAAGACGAAAAACTAAATTTTATACCCGTAAGGCAGAGTGAACACCCCTACATATGAGAGAATTTAATCAATGTGCCAAACCAATTTAAGGTTGAGCATTAGATCGTCTCGACTAAATTAAGTATGGGCAGAGTAAGAATTACCCTGAGACATCATCTTATTTCATTCTCATGCTTTCAAGATATGTGCGACAGAAAATTAATCGGTTCACTGATGTTCTTGATTTAGAAGATTCTGATTAAATTGACTGATGATTAGAGATGTATAAGCCTATTTAAGAAATACTCTATTAAGCGTGACTCACCCTTTATGGGAACAACATTTCAGGTGCGGAACAAACACCCGTGGACGGCCCTCACTTGGGCCCTTGTTGATGAAGAAGCCAATTTGTGGCATTTAAATTATATTTTTGCAAATCAACTGTGTAAATTATTTTAAACTTGTAAATTGTATTAAGGGGACATGTAATGGACTCTTATGAACTATATTTTGAGTATATTTAGATTTTATATGAGTTTGAATAAACTCAGAATGAGATTGGATGGTTAAAAGTTGAAGATTGAAAAGAATTGGGCAAAATCTAGGCCTAGGTACTAGTACCTATGTGACTAAGTACCGATACCACGTTGTTACCAAAGCTTCAAGTACAGGTATCTCAATGGACAGTGGGCTCAGTTACCAGTACCTAAGTAATTAAGTACTGATATATATGTGATTGAGTACAGGTACCTAACAAAGAGAAGGGACTTGGCAGACAAAAGGCTCAGGTACCGGTACCACGTGTACAAGGTACAAGTACATCTTCCAAAAATTTTCATTTAAATATAACTCTGTCAAGCCTTCAAATCTTGAGCTCTCTTGTTGGGATGATGTAATTGGTAAAACATTAAGTTCTAATTAATGGCGATGCACTTTGGAAAGGTCAAGTGGTCGATATCTGCACAGGTTATGCGCTTGAGAGTACTCTTGTACAAGGGAGACTTTGTTCAAACTCTATTTGGTTACAATCCCAATGAAGGGGATGTGATAACATGGTGTTGGGTTACATGTCATTCACAAGTACTTCTGCGGGTTGATGGGTGATCAAAAAGCTGAGAAAAGGCCCCCGAATTTTGGGGCATCACAAATGCAATGTGCACTATAGTGACCATGCTCACCACAAGTAAAATACACAAATAATTTGGTTTTGGGTTTCTTCTTAACTGGCTTCTTTTCAAGCTTACCCTCACCGTTACTAGTCTTTTTAAGACTTGTGCTCACTTCAGTGGGTGAAGGGTTGAAATCATCCTTTATAAACACAATCTTGGAAGAAATAGAGGTGTTGTGTTCATTTGTTGAAACTTAATCCTCTTTTGTCACCAACACTTTTCTCTATAACCAACATTTTATCCAGCTTTTCGGTACTTTGGGAAAGTTTTTTTGAGAGCTCTTATAACTCATGCAGGTCTATATCAAGTTTAACAATCTTAAACTCAAGACTCTTCTTAGACTCTAAAAGCCCTTTGTGCTCTCTCTCAAGGAAGCTCACCTTGTCATGGAGGGACTTTTTCTCCTCCTTGAACCCAACAAAATGAGCCTTGGACTAAACTAAGTCCTCATATAGTTCTTTTTGTTCATCTTCACTCGTTTAGAGTCTCGTGCTCAATGAAAGTAACCTCTCTGCTTATTTTAGACACTGCTCATATAACTTGTTATAAACATCTTTGAGGTCTTCAACACTCGGTCTCATCCTTACTAGTAAAGACTTCTACCACTAAGTCATCTACATCTGTAGTGGGACTAAACTCAACTTCCTCATCTTTATTATTAAAAGTTTTTCCTTTTTTTTTTTTTGTTTTAGGGGGTGGGAGTGGGAAGTGCGAACCTACAAAGGCCACGAAATTTTCTTCTATCACTTGACAAAGAGGAGTTAGCACTTGTAATGGACTCACTTTGGCCTTTAAGGATTTCCTCTTCTCCTTGGGCATGTCCTTTTTACCACTAGGACATTTCGTAGCTACATATTCAAACCTTGACACTCGTAGCATTTGAGACCTTGCCGTTCCTCTCAACCTCATGTCGAGAAGCTCTACCCCTACTTTCTTTTCCCTTTCTATGAGGTCTAGGTCTACTTGAATTTCCTTTCGACCTTGAACACTTGACCCCACTTACCTTAAAATATTTGTTAAATTTTTGAGAAAGATAAGCTATGTCCTCTTCTCCTAATCGATGTGACTCAAATTTAACTCCTCCTTCGATCTTAGAATTTAATGCAACACCTTCACTTTCTTGGGTAGAAGAAGATTCATCTCGAAATTCAAAATTGACCCTACTTGGTCCTAGATCGACATTCTGTACATATTGACACTAAACAATCTTACCACATTTTAAAAGATTGATTTTCGAACTCAAGCATACTATGAAGCTATAATATCTTTTACTGATTCCCATCAGCAACCGAGTACTACACATCCACAAATCACAGAGTACACACCCACAAATCACAGGCCATGGTTTCAAATCTAAGAGTATTTTATTACGATTACCTCGTTTCAGAATATAAGCAATTTTTTTTACTGTAAGAGAGATATTTGATTTCTTCCTTTAGCAAGAACCACCAAGGAACAAAGTTTTTAGCATGTTCTAAGGAGAGATGATGGTGTATAATAGCGATCTGAGCTAAGAGAAATAGGGCGTTGCAATCGATAAAAGTGCCAGAGAGGAATCTGTCCCGATATAAGCAGACCCCCTTATTTCCTCCTCCCCGTGCCAATGGTTAGTAGCTCGAAGCTTCGAAGAGTATCATCACGCTCGCCTCTTGTGGCTGCAGCTCGAGTGAATGATGATGATTTGGACTCGATCCCAGGTTGGATCCTTTGGGAAGTGGACAACCGACCACTGCTGGAGCCCAGACGACTAGGTCTATTTTCACTAGGTTCACCAGAGGAACTTGGCCGGCTGCTTGACACAACAGCTCTCTTTGAGGCACTGCTGGGCCTAGAGATGCGACCTCTTTGAGAATCAACTCGCTGAAAATTTACGAGGGTATTGACCGGTTTAAAAATCAGAGTAACCTATATAAATAGAGTAGCAGAGACAAGAATTGGGAGTACAAGGAAAGCAGACAATTGTCGTCATTGCTACTAACCACTTCCTTTGATGATGGTATATCTTCTGAAGGCCTGTGCCTCGAGTGATCCCCATGCAAGCCACCACCAGAGCCACTCCTTCTGGCAAATGCCCCAACTGCACCAGAGAATCTATCTCGAAACTCTTGCTTCACTAAATGACATACATCATTGCACATAATATAATCAGTATTCTCAGCCTAAATCAATTTGTCCCAAAAAAAACCAGATGGCAGAGAATTCTACAGCCACCCCCCCCCCCCCC